GTGTTTCATATTTGCCAGTTGAACTATAAAGGAAAAACTTTGTGTGAAAAAAAATCTATCACTATCATTCAACTCAACACCAAAAAAACAAACAACCCAATTAAAAAATGGGCAGAGGATATGAAGAGACATTTTTCTAAAGAGGACATACAGATGGCCAACAGGCATATGAAAAAAATGCTCAATCTCACTAATCATTAGAGAAATGCAAATAAAAACCACAATGAGATACCACATCATTCTGGTCAGAATGGCTATCATCAATAAATCAACAAACAACAAGTGCTGATGAGGTTGCGGGGAAAAGGGAACCCTGGTGCACTGTTGATGAGATTGCAAATTGGTGCAGCTAGTATGGAAATCAGCATGGAGGTATCTCAAAAAACTGGAAACAGAACTACCTTATGACCCACCAATTCCACTCTTACGTATCCATCCAGAAAAACCCAAGACACTAATTCGAAAAAATACATGCACCCCTACGTTTATTGCAGCGCTATTTACAATAGCCAAGACTTGGAAACAATCGAAATGCCCATCGGTAGGCGACTGGATTAAGAAACTGTGGTACATTTACACAATGGAGTATTACTCAGCTATAAAGAAGAAGGAAATGGTACCATTTACAATGATGTGGATGGAACTAGAGAACATTATGATAGTGAAATAAGTCAGTCAGAGAAAGACAAATACCATATGATCTCACTTATACGTGGAATCTAAAGAACTGAATAAATGAGCAATGTAAACAGAAATAGTCTCAGAGACACAGAGGAAAAACTGATGGTTGCTAGATGGGAGGGGGGTGGGGATGAGGGAGAAGGGGAAGGGATTAGACAGCATAAATTGGTAACTACAATATTGCCACAGGGATATGAATGACATTTGGAGAATATAATCAATAATGTTGTAAATATTTTGTAGGGTGTCAGACGGACACATTTCTTCTTAGGGCGACCACTTCATGGACGGTGTAGAGGCTTAACCACTGCACTGTACACCTGAAGCTGAAGTTGAATAATATTGTATGTCAACTATAATTTTATATATATATATATATATATATATATATATATATATATAGTCACAGGATGTGGAGTATAATGTGGGGAGTGGAGTCAATGGAATTATAATAGATATGTATGATATGGGAGGGCAGAGGATTGGGGTAGGGTGTTGTCATTTTGTGAGGGGTGAAAAGTATAACTATTGCACTGTTTTGTACACCTGAAACTAATAAAAAAAAAAACTATCACCTTGTGACGAGCAAAGGAATTTTGTGGAGGATGAGAATTTGCTAGTGGGTGCAGGGGAGATAGAAAAGATAGGAGTAGAGGGTTTTTACCAATTTACACCCCACCAGCAATGTATAAGAGTAGTAGCGTATGATTTTCAAAACTTTACTGTGTCGTGATATCTGATTATGGTTTTCCTTTGCATTTTCCTCATAAATAATGATAATGAATACTTCTTCATATGTTCGTTGAGCATTTAGATATCTATGTTTTTGAAGTGTCTATTCAAGCCTTTTGCCCATTTTTCAAAACATTGAGTTGTCTTTTTCTTATTGAAAAAGTGCCTTATATGTTAGGATATAACTTCTTTGTCAATAGTTGTTTTTCTTCTATTCAGTGGATTGTTTTCTCATTTTATTAAAGGTACCTTTTGATAAACTAAAGTTCTTAATTTTAATGAAGCCTATTTTATCAGCCTCTTCTCTCATGGTTTTTATATTTAAGAAAACATTGCCTACCTTAAGGTCAAGAAGATATTCTCCTGTTTTTTTTCCGGGAGTTTTATTGTTTTACCTTTCACATTAGCTCTTGACCCATTTTGAGTTAATTTTGTATATAATGTGAGGAAGGGGAATGGGTTCATTTTCTCCCATACAGATACACAATTTAGAATCATTTATTCAAAAGATCATTCTTTCCTCCGCTAACTTGTACCTGCCTCATAAATCATGTATTTGTATATGTGTGATGACTTCCCCCAAATGTTTTATTAAGCAGATTAATTAATTGAGTGAACAAGTCAATTGATATTATACAATTGGTAGAGAATTTTTCAATTGGTTAAAAAACAACAACAAAGAAGTGAAGGAAGTAAGTTCAAAAGTACACAAAATACTTTTGGTGAAGAGTAGAAGTAAATGTTCCTTTTACTCTGTTCCTCAGGACCCCATTTCTTTCTCCAGAAACAATCAAAAGTGTCACTGCCCAGATATGCCAAACATCTCTGCTTAATTGTTAGGGTCCTAAAAAAAAAAAAGCAAGCCCTTTATCCCAAAGCCTACCCCAAATCTAATGTAGTGACTTCTCTAGAATGTTCTGATATTAACTTTCTATGTGGTTCTGATGCTGAGTGAGTTCCAACATAATTTAAAAGTCTATCTTACTTCTCTCTTTTAAAAAGCATATAGCTGGATTAAAAAAAAAGCCCAAATAGATAAGGGTTATATTTTATTGGGGGGGGGATTTAACTTATTTATTTTTTGTAATTATATTTATTCCTGCCATTTTATTTTATATTCTCTACTGCTTTTTAAAAACTTCTTGTCTTTTGTGGAATTAACAAACTTGCTTTCTTTCTTGTTCTAGCAGCTTAGAAATTATACATTTTATTTTTATTCTGCATCTAGACATTGACATTTTAAACCCCATTATATATATTTTTTATATATAGACTAGAATTAAGCAGCATCTATACCCTACCCTTGATCAATTCCACTTCCTTCTCCCCCACTTTCTCCTACAACTTAAGCGGGGGTGGGTCGAATTTTTGTACAGCCTGAAGCTTATACAATTTTGGAGATCCTCTTTAAAACAATGTGAAATTCTAAATTTAAATATTCAGTAAGAAAGTGAATGTTTATTTGGGCTGAGAAAAAAATCACAACATATTATAAATTTTTAAATTTTACGAATTTATGAATCTTTAAAAAAATGACAGTTCCACAATGGAATCCAGAAATAAAACATAATATTTTTATTTATTGCCTGGGAGACTTCTAAAGTACTCTTTCCCCTACAATTTCTCTTTTAGAATTTTGCATTTCTGACTATGGGAAGACTTACCCACAAACTGCCTTCTAGTGTCTATATTTCAAGCATGGCATCCCCACTATCTGCATCATCTCCAGTGCCGTATAATGTTCCATACATGTTAATTAGATCAAAGCAATTGGTAGTGTTCAGATCTAGATCTTTACTGACTTTTTTCTCGGTTCTCAATTGCTGGGAGAAGGGTGTTAAATCTACTATGGTTGCAGAACTGTCAGTTCCTTCATTTGTGAATTTTTACTCCTTGTATTTTGCAGGCCTTTTATTATTGTTATGTCTTCTTCATGAATTGATCTTCTTCTTCTTATGAATGATCCCTATCTTTGTTAGTTTCCTTTATCTTGAAGTCTATTTTAGCAGATACTAATATAGCCACTTCAGCCTTCTTTGACTATTGTTTGTAAAGTTTATATAATGTCCTATCTTTTTACTTTCAACCTATGTCTTTAAAGTAAATCTCTTTTAGATGGCCTTGTGTGTTATCTATTCTGAAAATTTTTGTCTTTTAGCTAGCGTTTTTAACCAATTTATACTTAATATAACCATTACTTTGGTGCTATTGAATGTTACTGCCTTACAATTTGTTTTCTGTTTGTCCTATCAGCTTTTTGTTCATCTGTGTCTACTTAGCCATAATTTTTAGGCTAATTGAACTATAGTTGTTTAAGCCAGTGAGACTGCACATTTCCATATTTTAGTCACCCAGCAAGGCACTGGCTGGCTGAAAAACCCACAAAAACAGGAAACTCACTTAGTAACATTAACTTTATCAAATTTTCCACGCCCCTCCAGTTTTTGATTGCTTTTGGTCATATTCCCATGCCTTCACATAGTTGTTTTTGATATTTTGTCCATAGTTTATCATTGTTATCTGTGGAACAGTTTGCTCTATAGTAGCTACCTTTGCCAGAAGTAGAACCTAATTTTTAAAGATTGCAACTACTCTGTCGCAATGCTCTTCACGTATACAGTATCTGATAAATCTAGGTGTTTAATGCCCACAAGTTTGCAGCTGTGGCTTTCTGGAAAAAGTTACTAGTAGATCTGTATTTCTTTAATGGATCACTGCTAGCTCTAAAATCTACTATTGGTGAAATCATAAAGAGAAGTTTGCTAGATGATTTTTTTCTGTGTATGTGTGTGAAATATTTATAATGTTAAGAAAATGAATAAGCAGTGTATTAAGTGTTTATCTTTGAATAGTGGAATTATAAAGTGATTTGTTTTCTCCTTCATGCTTTTTACAAATTTCCAAATTTCTATAATTGATGTGCTTTATAATTGGAATGAAGGATTTTAATTCTTTTTGAATGAAAAGACACTAACATCTGCTGAACACTTATGAGTTGGATCGTGAACTAGGCACAGCCCCATTTTAAACTTTTATGATTTTTTTGTAACTACAGGAAAATATCTTAAAATTAACTGTTAAGGGGCAGTTTAAAAAATATTTATTATCCATTCTAATGATAGCCCTTGCTGGGTTTTTGTTTTGTTTTGTTTTGATTTTTTAAGGAGGGCACAGCTTACAAGGCCCATGCAGGGATCGAACCAGCAACCTTGGTGTTATTACTACCATGCTCCAAACAACTGAGCTAACCAGTCACCCCCCTTGAGGTTTTTTTCAAAAGGAGCATTTCCAGACAACCCTCAGGTTAAATTAGTATATGAGTTTTAGACACATCAATATCTGGGATGAAGTAATAATTGAGAAAAAACAATGCTCTTTCAATATACCCAGGCATTAAACTTGACCTCTGGCATCTTAGAATGGGACAATTACCTATTGTCTTCCTGACATTCTTGAGAAACCTAAACTGTGGTTTTTGTCTTTCTTCTAAGGAGCAATAAAAAATTTTATTTAATTCAGGATCAATAACACCTTTCATCTAGCCTCATTTAATTTACTGATTTAATTTTTTCTTCTTACTCTTTCAGAATGCTTCAGTAAGATGAGGACAGGAAGCTCTCACTTAACACCCTGGATGGTCCTACAACTAACTGTAAGTGAAACAACGTATAAGGAGCCAGTTTTACCATAGGCTAATTGATATAAATAAGAGTTAAGTTCCTGTGGCATCTCATCGAGTTATAATGAAATGATGTTGAACAAAAAGCCCTAACTTGAGGATCTGCTGTATATTGGATAGTAGAGCAAGGCTGAGCAAGGTAACTCTTCAGTCCTCATTTCCTGAGGACCAAAAGCAGTTTCTGTGTTCTTACCCTAGGGCTCACCCTCAGTGCTTTCTATGTAAAACTGCCTTGGCTTCCCTTTCCCAATCAGGGAAAAGGTGATTGGATTGAGTCATGTTTCACCTGAAGTGTTTTGGCCCTTTATTTGAACTAGCCATTACATCTTGTGGCAGCTGTAACTAGCACTGCTGTAATGATCTGATAAAAACCTATTCCTTCAACACTACTGGTCATTAGCGCTCCCAGACAAGATGTGACATGCTCAGACAGTTCATCCAGTAGGAGTCTCTTTTTTGACAAATATGCCTTTTCTCCTTTATTCATGACAATTTTATTTCTTTCACAAACACCAATTTTTCGAAGTTACCACTCCCTAGTTGGACCAGAGGACTTTTTTTTTTTTTCGCTTCAAAGAGAGGTGCTACTACCATCTTTTCACTTTTAATTGTATCTTACTGTAATTGGTCTTTCTTAGAATAGTAATTTTAAATAGATATATACTGAAATAGCAAAGCTTGATACTGATACCTGTAAATGTTTTCTTTCCCATTACTTTTGCAAATTTTACAGTTTGAGGTATAAAGTCTTGTTTTAATCATATGCGCTACTTCATGTTTTATGTTTTATGTGCATAATAAATACTCATCCCACAGACTGATGTCAGAATGAATCCAGTGATTGGGGTATTTGCCTGAAAGTAAAACAGAAGGAGGACACTGGGTGTCTAGTTTTCAATTTCTAACTTTAAGTAACTTTGCCTACCCAGGAAATTATAAAATAAATTCTCTACTAAAAATGGGATCATTGGTTCAAAATATCTCTATCCTTTTCCCTCCAGTGGTTAAACCTATGGACAGCTATATAACAGATACCAAAGTTGAGAAGAAGTATTTTCCTCTGAAAACTAATTCCCCCTGGAAATCCTCATTAACTAGAATCCAGGTTCAACTTTCTGCAACCTAGTGCAAGCTTCTGAACAAAAATAAAATGGATCATGGTTAGTTTTCAACTGACATAAAACGTAACTAGGCAAACAATATTGGAGTTCACAGAAAAATGAAGCTGATAAGACTTAAGAAAAAGGCATGACTGAGAACATAATGGTCTCCTAGCAGTCTGAGGGGACAATCTGAAGGATGGTCAAGGAAAGACATTCCAAGTGAAGTTCAGGAACTGGCTGAATGGAATCAAGGAAAGTGGATTATGCAATTGCCAGATGATATCTGAAGATATAAGAGCATGGATTCTTGTATTGGGCCCAGATTCTCTGTAGATAAGCCTTCTCTGGGTATACAATAGCAAAGTTCAATGAGGTAGCATTTGTCAAGGGTTAGCTTAAGATGTGAAAGAAAGAGAAAGAGGAGAAACCAAGAAATACAGGATGAGGCAGTAATGTCCACATCTAGTTTAAGAAAGAGCTTTTCTTCTCTCTTGAAGATAGTCACATTGAATCTAACACAGGATCATCTGCAATAGTAATGAGAGCTGAATGGATGAGCTTTCTAAAGAATTGAGAGGTCAAGTGCTAAGGTCTGAGTGGTTGGTGGTACCTAGAGAGGTGAGGCTAAGGAGAAGAAAGACAATGGAGGATATAGAGGAGTAAACTCATGAAGAGCAGTTAAAATTATTAATCACTAGGTAACTTTCAGCTATTCAGTTCCAGAGTAAGCTCACATTTCACTGTTAAAATTACTTTTCTTAAAAGGGTGGTTAGATGTGCTTTACTGCTCCAATATATATAATTCTAAAAAATCATAGTCTGGATTATGAACTAGAAAGCTCGTTATTACCATGCAATGATTTAATGCAATGGGGTATAATTGTTTACTAATTGTTCCATGTTCTTTCATTTTCTGGTTTTTTTCTCTCTTAGATTTTCAGTACCTCCAGGGCTGGATAAATGTCATGCATTGCTTAAAGGCCAAAACTCTGAAGGCTGATAAAACAGGTGTGATTCCTACTCTCTTATTTGTGTGGCCTTGAGCAAATTATTTGAGCAAATTATTAACCTCTCTAAAAGCTTCAGTTTCTTCATGTATAAGCAATAAGAATAAGAATATCTTCCTCACAGGGTTGTACTGAGGAATAAATAATGTAAAATGAACAAAGTGATGTAACATAAATAAAACATTTATATCTTGTGACAAATAGCACAGAATTTAAGTTTGCTGATGTTGAAAATAGGATGTGTCCAGTCTTTTCTTCTATCATGCATGCCTTCAGTTCTGTTGTGGAAGACATATTGTATCAAATGTATTCTCTTTGTTATCACATCAAGAGAAAAGTTCAGGACTGACTTTCACCAAATTCGAGGTTATGATGGTCTGACTGAAACTAAAGACTCAAAAATGCGATAATCCCTCAGAAACTAAGGCAGCTGGAAACTAAGGCACGATAAGAGATCTGTGTGACTACTCACTGGGAGAGGCATGCCACAGGCAACAAGATGCACTGGAAGGAGTGAAAACGCAAAGGTTTCTGAGGGACAGGACTACAAATGGCAGTTGATTTCCATTCAGTTACTCCCTAGATGGGCAACTCTAGGTATATATTTATACTCCAGAGAAAGCAGCCGCAGCAAATTATTTCTTTTTATATATTTCTTTTTATGACAATACATTTATATGAGGATATGAGCATGGGAAAGATAAGTCACTATATTAAACAAAGGAAAAATTTACATAACCTCAAATAATTGCAAATACAAAGCCAAGGAGAACTGCATTGGATTACAGTTTTTAAAGAAACTTTTGGACCCAGCCACTGAGCTTCCTCACCATTTTCTGTGTTTCTAGAACCTTGGTCACTTCTCTCCCTTCTGCCACTTCTCCCAATCCAGAGAAGCAGTGTAAAGGCAATACCTACCAGTTTTTAAGTGTAACTGTGATTAGTATAGCTGATTTATATAACAAATTGAAAAGAGTCATTCAAGGAAAAAGGAAAACATATACTATAATTCAAGACATATAACATTCACTCAATCTATATTTTCTAAAACAAAATATATATAAATATTTACATAAAACGCATATATAGATATAATACACATAAATATAGTCACTAGGCAATCATCAGAAAGTATTTAAGGTAAATTGTATAAACTATCAAAATCTGTCATATATTTCTATTTAATGCATCGAAGTACCCTAATAATTACTGAATGGAAGCAAACTGGTAAGCTGCAAGCTATGTCTAGAAAATTGGTCACGGGCCGGCTGAGTGGCGCATTGGTTAAGAGTTGGCTTGGGAGCGTGAGTTCTGAGCAGCAAGGCCACCGGTTCAGATTCCACATGGGCCAGTGACACTGCGATGGTTAACAACAGCTCGACCTGGAGCTGGGCTGCTGTGAGTTGCCGGTGATTGCGTAGGCTGCCGTGGGGCTGCAGTGGGCTGCCGTAAGTGGCAGGCAGCCAGCATTTAGTGGCCCAGCAGCTGGGGTGAGCTGCTGTGAGCTGCCATGAGCGTCCGTCCAATGGCCGACGACCAATCTGCCTCAGCCAGGAAGAGCACAATGATCACAATACCAACATGGGCCAGTGAAGCGACATCCTCCACAACTAGACTGAAGAACAAAGGGCCAGCAACTTGTCTGTTTCCCTTCCCTGATTCCCCAATGCTGTTCCATACCCCAATTCCCTAATTAAATCTTTTTTAAAAATTAAAAAAAAAAGAAAATTGGTACTAAGATATTACTAGAAATCTTTTAAGAATAGAAGTGAACAGAAAACAAGTAAGTCTAATTGTTTCCATAGTTTTTATAAATATTAAATTAAAATGTACTGCATTGTTTTTAAACTTTTATTAAAAAGTTCTTGGCTTAAAATGTGAAGACTGCTTTCTCTAAAGTATTCCTAAAATAAAATAGAATGCGTAATGGTATAACTAACTGTGACAGAGATCAGTTTTATTGTCTTATTTTATTTGTCTGGGCCATAAATGAAGGACTTCAGTCCTTTATTTGGCATCTTTCAGAAGTACAAAATTTACACATATAAAAAGTAATAATACTTTTATTTTCTTATGTGATTTCAGAAGGTAAACAAACTGGCAGTTTTATTAAGCATTTACTAACCTTATTACCATGCTTTAGACTTACTGTTAAGTTTATTGCTGTGTGTTCTTGAGAAATATTTTTTAAATGAGGAGGAAATAGGCCATCTTTTGAAAGATAGAACAAACACAAAATTAAGAAATATACATGTTCCACTTGCCATAAATTTTTTTTTAAGAGAGAGAATACTCATAAAACATTTTTCTCCCTCAATCAGAGTTTTTAAAAGGTTAGTTACTTGGGGCTAAAAATGGACAACAGCAGAGATTTGGTTAGTTGATACTGTTGCAATGAGATTTAATTCAACACAACAGGTATGAGACTTTACCTTGGCCCTTCAGCTCTACTGTACTCGAAGGCACATGGAAGTGTGCAGTGGTCCATTGTTCTGGTGCCATGTGATTGAGGACTTCAAATACCAGGATACAGAGATTGCCCATCATTGGGTAAGCAGTAAAGAACAACTGAAGAGGGCCGGCTGAGTGG